TATTGATAATAAATACAAATAGCAAAAAACCCATAGGAAATGAGATATTTCCAAAAAAAGCGCAAAAAACCGATTTTTGTGACCTTTGACCTTGAAATTTAATAGTTGCTTACACCCTACCATATGTAGGTTTTGAGACAACTTTTAGGGTGTCAATATACAAGTATTTACAGACTTACAGCTGGGTATCTCGAATTCCGAGATTCTTACCTAATTTAAGCTTAAATGACTGGATTATATATTATATATTATAATCAGGATCAGCTATCGACAATTTGAACAGATGACAAAGGGGACATTGAAATGTCGGTCGGTATCGTTAAAATATTGTTTTTCGAAATCGAGTGGATTAATGGTTTGGTGTTGCTGTTTCAATAATTTAAATTCATAAATATGTTCTTTGGAAGACGTTTCCTTGATTCTTCTCTTTCTGATGTCGAATTTCAAAATCGTAAGTTTGTGACTTTTAGAGCCACCTGGCTAGTTGTCCTTCTGGGGTTTTGAAGTTCAGTTGCTACCGAAGTACTGAGTGATCTGAACTGATTAATAATGTACAACCAAATAAAGATGTGTGGTAGTGATCCATAGCTTTGACCACTGCGGGGAGCTCATTTCTCGGGATTAACTGAAATAGCAAATGACTTCTTTCTCTTCTTCTTCTTTCATTTCAATGATGTGTGATTTTTTAGCTTTATATCTCAATATACATATAATCTACTGTGTCGTAGTATATCCTGATGGATAGAGAATTTTATAGTCTATACGTTGACGTTGTTCATTTTTTTAGCATATATTATGTCGTTCAGCGATATTCAGCCAATTTTTCTGTACGGACTCAAATTGAACCAAAGCGCTACCAAAACAGCTCGAAAAATTAACCAGGCATTTGACAATGATAGTATTAATGGGCGTACTGTTCAACGTTGCTTTTCAAAATTTCATTTCGGAGATTTTAGCCTCAAGATGAGCCCCAAAATAGTCAACCTACAGTAGGTTAGGTTAGGTCCACAGTGAGTGGGTCTATTCGACCCTCCACCGCAACACGCAAGGGTTTATTGTGGTTCACACCCATTCACACTCAACCAAATGAACCCAGCTTCTTAACGAAGCCGGTTAGGTTGTATGGTGAGTGGTCTTTTAGGTCATATGGTAAGAGTACGGCTCTGTGGAACTCTAAAAACCTGATTCAATCCCCAGCGGGGCAGGCACAAAGTATATGCACTGCTGTTTCATCGTTAATGAGGTAGTCGGATAGTCCAGGTGTAAGATTTCCACCTAGATACCCCCGACAACCTTACCATATGAGGGTTTTTGCACGTCAGCTACACCTGAGGATGCCTTAGATTCAACCGTGCAGTGCTTTTTCGCCTCTGGTTTTGGTGAATCACCACGCAAACATTTGCTAATCTGCTCATGGGGGGTTTGTTCCTCCACCTGAGACAGATTCTGCGTACGCCGCTCAAGAATTTGGTGCAAGACGGTTTTATGAGGTTGTTGTTTCGGCGAGTGGAAAAATCTTCGAAAGACACCTGGTCGCCCTGTGACCAGATAGTGTCGGATTTTTACCGACTAGAAAACCACTCATGAGTCAAGTAGGTTACTCTGGAACCGCCCTCGGAATAGCAGACTGTACTGATGGTTTGAGGCTCTTCCTTTTTCTTCAGTACTTCATTATTATTCATCTAGTTCTTTTCTTTTCTTTGTCAGGATGGTCTTGGATTGTTTACTAACGGCTTCCCAGTTTTCTATACTTTTGAGCATCTTCCCTATCATGTTTTCTGGTGTTAATTCTCCTGTCGTCATTTTTGCGTTTCGTCTCTGTTCTTCCCAACGTATTCATTCAAAGATTTATGTTCTACCGTATCTATCGTTACGTAATACTTGCACTCGTCTGTGTCACTCACTTTAAACCTAAACAGATACGCCTGAAAACACCCATGCCTCGTTAGTGTGTGAGAAAGTAATTCACTTTTCCCCATTTTCTGTTCATCCATGGTTCTATGTCTCTTATCAGTCTTCTTGTCCATTTGGCCTTTCCATCGTCTATCTCCCAAGATTGTTGCCATTTTTCCATAATTTGTAACCTTGCTAACCCTTTTTATATGTTGTTTTGTACCACTGTTCTCTCTTCCGCCAGCAGATCTATTGGGGGGGTTCTTGCAATCATCAGCAGAGCTTTAGTTGATGTTGTTTTACATGCGCACACTATTTTTATGGCTGCTTTCCGTTGAACACTAAGTAATATATTCCTGTATACCTTTTTTTCATGGCTCTTTTCCATATAAGGTACTCCGCTCTTCAGGAGATGACTCAGTCATTTCCATACTGCACCACCAAACCTTTTTTTAGGTTCACCTATTGGATCAGGAGTTGAGGAGGTCAATTGGAGTCGTAAACTCGACATACATCTCCTCTGTAGACTCGCTCCTGAACTAAATTTACGTGGAGGTCAGTTGGAGTCGTAAACTCGACATCCATCTCGTTTGTAGACTTGCTTCTGATCTAAATTTACAGGGAGGTCAGTTGGAGTCGTAAGCTAGACATCCATCTCCTCTATTGACTCAGCGTCAGATTCACTCTATCCATAAAAGGCCCACGAGTGGCTACAGCTATTAGCTATCGTATTACCTACAGTAACTTAGGATGAGGATTTGAGAACCCTGTTGGAGACTGACCCACCACGAACGCTGCATGGGATGACGAAAAACTGGCCGACAGCTCCCTTGCGGTTTTTCAAGGTTTGAAACGTATTGGGAAGGTCAGAAAGCACGGAAAGTAGGAGCTTCACGATTTGAACGATCGACAGAAATTGTTACGTTTGGAGGTATGTTCTTTTTTGGTTTTGCACAAACAAAACTATCTCACGTATGATTAAAAGTGGATTCTCTACAACACGAGGCGTTCAGGACAGTGGTTTAACTTTCTCACCGGTAAAACCTTTGCGACCAGGTAAAAATGGTCTTCCACGACTTCATCAAATCCGAGCACGAAATTCTTATCGTGACAGAATTAATTGACTTGGATTACAATTTGAGGTAGGCTCATAAAAACTGACAAAACTTGAATCTATTGAAACGATTTCATGAAATGTGTTTCTCATAAATTTGTTAACACTGTAACCCCTCAACGAGGGTAAAAATCAAAATCTTATTATTTCCACAAATACGAATTTAACCGTGAGTAAATGTGTTAAGCTACTTGCGATTCATATAGATGACAGATTGAACTGGTCATGCCATGTTGACAAACTGTCCAAGAAATTATCAAGTGTAATATTTATGATTCGTAGACTAAAGGAATTAGCCGGTATCAGAACGGTGAAATCTTCTCAGTTCGGAGTCTTCCATAGTCATATTGTATACGGCATAGTGTTGTGGGGAGATTCTTGTCATTCCAAAAAAATTTTTGAATTGCTGAAAAGAGTTTCACCTCTGATATCTAATGCCAAATTTAGAGATCATAGTCGCCCACTTTTTAATCATCTTAAAATTATGCCGCTTCCTTCAGCCTTTATGTATGAAACATTGATTGAAATTCATAAAAATAGATCCATCTACATTTTACAATCGTAACAACATCAATATTCAAGATTAGGAAATCTGATGAGAATTGAGAGATTCAGACTAAACACCTCACAGAAAAATTAATTGAATTTGAAATTTTATATTAAATTACCATGTCACATTAAACAACTCAGTTTCTACCGTTTCAAGCAGAAACTGAAGTNGTCACGTATTTCTGATATGTACCGCTTTTGTTAGAATCAAATGTGCCACGTCACTTAAACACTTCCCGTGAAAGTATCTATAGAAGACAGACAAATCTCCAACTTTTTTTCGATGTTCCAGACTATCAAGGTTGCAAGTGATGTTCGCGTTTCCAATCACGGGTCTTTTCTGGATGGAATCCATCCGCTTCAGGGTATGTTTGAGTACGGAGCTTCATACATGAGAACAATACTCCAACGAAGATCTGATCTGAGCTTTATAAAGCATCAAAAGTTGCTGAGGTGTGGACAGTTTTCTAGAACGAACTTCACTGTCACACGCTTCATGCTTAAAATACCCGAAAAAATTTCATGGCATGAGTCAACCGATATGCCGACATCTGCAGCAACGTCTCTAATAGTAATTCAGCGATTCTGCATAACCACTTTTCTCACTTTCTCAACATTTTCATCGGTTGAACCAGTTGTACCAATTGTGAAAATTTTTCTGGTTCACCGTATACCACTGATAGCAGAA